CACTTGGCATTTCTGCAGAGTCTGATCCCTCTGTCTCATTCACAATCAGATTCCATGGTGTTGGAAAGTTATAAAGAGAGTGGTTCAGCTCCTGCTATCATGACAGCTGGCCATGGGTTAATTTTATGTTGGTGGCTGTTACATTATGCCAGCTGCCCATGGGCACAATTTTTGCATAGTGCCTATGGGTACCTGCCTTGCTGTGAGTTGTTGTGTCATGTAAAGTGGCAGGGATTGTTTCAAGGTTAGATAAGGATCAGCTTAGCCAATGGCTTGTTGGAGGGTCATGTGAGGTGGTCCAGGTCTCCTGTAGCTTGGGATCATGTGAGATGGCAACCCACAGCAACCTGACACAGTGGGACAACCGTATGCTTTTGTAAAGCTTCTTGCTTTGATTCCTCCCTCCAAACTCTCTATCCAGTCTTGAAACTCTTTGAGCTCTTTGCCTGAAAAGTGCTTCTGCTTGTTAAAAAAACAAAAACCAGTGGTCTGGGTGTCAACAGGATTATTGGGGTCTAGTACATTGTATGGGGGCCCTTTGCCCCAGCTGTTGTAGATTAGTACTGTGGTACCATGCCCAGCTGTTGTAAGGACAATGAAGACATGAAGTACTTTTAGTATAAAGTATAGTACTGGAATTGTGGTACACCTAGATCACCATTCTCCATCTTTCTGTCCCAGTTTGTCATTTCATGCTTTATGACGGTTGTTACAGATGTTGAACAACCATACAATTTGATAGCCCTGGTATATATCTTTAAAATGAAGTATAGAGCAAGCAATGTAACCAAGTACACAGGCTGAAAATTGAGGTTATGTTCATGGCATTACTTGTGCAGTGCTGACTTGCGATTGTCCGTGACCAAGGGAAGGATGCTCTGTACTAACTCATATTAAAGGGGAATATTTTTCTTCAAACACACTAATAAGAAAAGGAATATCCTTAGGTAGCAACATCTGATGGTACTCAGCACGAAGGAAATCTTTTTCACACAATGGGAAGGATATAACTTTCTGTACCTGAACACTAGGCCAGAAGCTACACATGTGCCCACATAAAAGAGTAACACATACTTTTTAATGTAAGCAAAACTAAGATCATTTCCTTAAATGCCTTTACAGTGCAACTGAGTATATATTTACTCAAAAGCAGATCTGGTTGTGTTCCCAGGTCAGCTAAGGCTGTAATTCCATAGAAATGAGGAGTAAACTCTTTAATAGGCTTCTGTATGAGTAGACATAGGACTGTATTAGAAGAATTTACCAGTTTGACTGATGATACTTTGTGTATATGTAGTCTTTCCCAATAACTCATGGCTTAAATTGATGGTGAAAGTCCTTCTGAGCTCTCTGCTCACTGGGAGTCTGATTTGCCCCTGCTTGCTCTTGATAGTATGGACTGTGGTTTGCATGAATTGGGTTAATTAATTTATAGTGGGGCATGGTGCTGAACCACCAGGAGACTATCCCTGCATGGACTCAGACCAGGCAGGCTAGGAACAAACAGATGTTTCAAATGTGCAAGAGCAGGCTTAGCCCAAACTGCTGAATTGAGGAGTTAACATCCCTTTCTAATAACTTTTTTTTACGGATTTTAGGAATACACAACTATATAGCTTCTTCATTTTCCCCACTCTTATTATGCAGTAACACACAGCTTTTGTATCATGATACAATTAAACTGCAGTTACAGGAATCCATCAATTAAGCTATGCTTACAAGAATTTGCTTTTTTATTGCTGCCGTTCATTGTGCCTAAATGTAAGAAGCCTGATGGCATACAAAGACAGGAAAATCTCTCTTGAGAGTTAGCTAATGAAGTGATATTGGAGACACACAGTGTTTGGGCTATATTAAAATACTGCTACAGGATATTTGATAGTACTTGTCACATTGTGGGATGGCTTCATTCCATTGTGTATGAGTACTGTCACCTGCTTGTTACAGGTACGTCTGAAAACTGCTGCTGAAAGAAGATAATCCCTCTGTTGTAGTGGTATGAAGATCAGGACTCAACTGGGGGAGGGAACTATTTTCTCTTTATTTTCTTGAGAGATGAAATGAAAAACTAGATATTGGGAGGGGGGCACCTCCAATATTAAATATTTTACTCATTCCAAAACCGCAAATGCATGTTTCAAAAAGCTACCGATACGATAAGTTCACCCTGCTGAAAAGTTCATAGATGTATGATTGAAAGAATGGAATGATGTTGATATTGCATTTGATTGTACGCTGTTGAGTGGTACAGGATATCTTCAGGTGTATGAAGTGATTATGGTATTTCCATTTCAGTCAACAGTCTTTTTGAACAGGGTGGTGGTGAAGATTGGATTGCAAAAATTCTGTGGTTGATATGGATGTTTTGTTCAGCCTGGAGCAAAGCTCAGCGCTCTCAGCCACTTAAAGGATAGAATGGAATTCACATTTAATGCTAGCCCATGGTTATTTAGCTTAGCCCATTATGTATTGCCATAGTCAGGGTTTGTCAGGATGACAACCAAACAAATCATGGTTTGTTTTCTCAATTCCTGGGTTGTTGGTTTTCTTCCTCCTTCACCCATTTCCTCCCAGTATCCCAAATGCCCTTTTGATGCAGTAGTACCATCATGTAGAGCAATTGGGACTTTTGACCACTCTTAACTGCCACTATGTAGCCTGGTAAAATAACCCATGAACAATCCATAATTTTGGTTTACATGCAACCACCACTTACGCTTTAGACGACTCAGAATTCCCAATTGAAAACCAAACACAGGCAATTTTTCTGTCTGTCCACGTTTAACAAAGCATGGTTTATTAGCATGGCTGCATTGGCACATTTGGGGAATCAACAACCCACATCATGGGTTAATGTAGTATACAAAGCATGTAACTGGTCCAAATCCTCCTTGCTCCCATTTGCTTGCTCTCAGACTTGGTGCTCTTTAGCTTACCTTCCAATCTATGGAAAAACAGAAAGAAGAAACCCAAACAGCTTGCATGATAGGCACCAGCTTTGCTCTCTTTCATGCCCCACTCCAATTCCTGGGTTGAACTATCCATGAATTGGCAGTGATACGACCAAGGTGCCGCCCAATGAGGCTTGATGGAGGAGAAGCAAACTTAGGTGTCCAGGTCTGGACACAACAATAAGCTTTCTGTGGCTGGTAAGTTCCTCGCGGTGCCCAGTGAAGTGACTGGGCACCATACACCAGCGCACTTGCTCATTACCTATAAGCCAGAATGGTGAGCAATTCTGGTTTGCTATTTTTATGCAAACACAGCTAATGCTTCTAATCAAAGAAACAAACTTGAGAGGAACTAATTTTCAGTGGTATATTTATTGGGATGAAGTGGGATATAATTTAGATAAATATGCAGTTGGATAGCCTTTTTGACTGTCCCTGTAATGTTACCTAAAGTTTCCCGTTTTTGTCTGTTCAGAAGTTTATAAACAGGGGAGCAGCATCTATGGATGGCTGCCCTTGGTCCTGGCAGGGAAACCTGACTGGGCATCACTCTCTGAATCCAGACCCAAGGAGACACCCCTGAAGCACCTTCTTCCTCAGAGCCTTCCTCCTACTCCCCTGTTGTGTGGGATGGTGTCAGGATCAAGTCAGCCTTCCAGCTGAGAAGGATTAGCTATCATTCTCTCCATTGCCTTTCCAACACCACTGTTCACCAGGTGGTAGTTGACCAGGCTGAGCTGAATCATCCACAGGTGGGCCACTACAATGCTACCCGCTTGTCTCTAAGCTCACATATGTTTATGCATAATACCAAGGTACACTAGTACCATTTTATACTACTTAGTGCATTGGATTGGTCCTTGGAATATCTGATCTCTAGTCCACACTTGGCCATGAAGGGTGGCTTTGGGCCACTCAGTCTAGCCTACCTTGCAGAGTAATTGCAGAGATAGAATGGTGAGGCAGTGGATCACAGAATCCTTCTGAGGTTCCTTGAAAGATGGAAAAAAAGACAGTATATAAACATAAACAGTAAAACAAGAATGCAATCCTGTCCACACTTACCTAAAACATTTCCAGTTAAACACAGTGGGACTTGCTTCTGAGTAATAATATTCAGAATTGTATTATAATTTTACTTTGTTCTAAATATAAGAATTGCCTGGGTTTCAGCTGCTCCCCAAATTTGGACAGAAGTGTCTTAAGAACAAAAACAAAACGAAGGAAGGAAGCAAAAAACATGGCTTGAAAATTTGTAGGTTTTTCATTTCTGTATTTTGCCTCCTTAAATGCACGGCTATTTCAGCTGTCATACTCATTGCCTGGCAATTGGAAAAATGGGACCAATTATTTGCTTTGAAAAAGCTTCCTGTTTCATCTTTGGCAAGACATCTTTAGCCTCTTCATGCCTGTCTTCTGTTTGCAAATGGAGTAATATCATATCCCTACCTTGCTGGGCTGCAGTGAGAATAACATAATTAATTAAGTATTTGAACTAATTAGAAAATGAGAGGCAGGCAGCATTTCTTATGTACTTAAATGGTGGCTTGTGCTGCTCCTCATTCATATTTTCTGTTAGACTATGGAAATCTGTGCTGGATTCTGGTTGGGAGTTCTTGTGTGGACAATAAGTACTAAAGACTGTACTTTGGAATCCATGTTAGATCGTGCAATTTGAATTACTCAGTGTGATTTTGTTTGTTTGTTTTGGCTGAGGGTAGGGGCACTGAATATAAACATACTAGCAAGTATACTTAACTGAATATAAACATACTAGCATGATCAGAATTAGTTTTTAGGGAGGGGCTGTAAATCAGTGGTAAGAGTCCCAGGTTCAGTGCTTTTCTAAGGTGTACTAGGAAGTAATCCCACCTGAAACCTGGGAGAGTTGAAGGTTTGATATGAGAGAGCTCTCTATGCTCCTGTCCCTTGTTCCAAATTCTTGTATTGTTGTGTGAACCAGTAAGAAGCAGCTATGGGGTCTTATGTAGCTGTTTTTCTGATGCTACAGGTTTGTGTTCTCACCACAGGTCTATTTGTTTTTCACAGCTCGTAGCTGTATTTGATGAGCAAGACCCACACCATGGAGGAGATGGCACCAGCGCCAGTTCCACCGGCACCCAGAGCCCCGAGATCTTTGGCAGTGAGCTGGGCACTAATGCGGCTTCTGCCTTCCAGCCTTACCAAGCAACAAGTGAAATTGAGGTCACGCCTTCAGTCCTTCGCACAAGTAAGTAAAATCTCCCTGTACCTCTGCACATTTCATCTTCATTTACAAGGATGCCAACTTTGGTTACCCTTTCATGCTACTGGGAATACGATTCATTATGTGTCTTTATCAAAAGCTGATTAAAGTTCAGAAATGGGGTTGATGTTTGAGGCGGGCAAGTAAATAAGCTTCTGTCTTTTAGTTTTAATACAGTGTTTATGATCTGCTTCATAAATATGAGTGTGGCTGTGTGTTGTGTCCCCTTTTGAAAGTAGCCAGGCATGAAAATCTTACAGCACATTTTCTCAGGCTGTTATCTCAGCAGTGACAGTTTTGACCTGTCAGATAGAGATTAAAAACATTTATAATTGTTTTTAAGCAGTACAAGCATTAAGTTGCCCTTTTAAGTGAAAGCCACGAACACTTCTTTTGTTTTTTACTAGTTATACATCCACCAAAGATGTAGTGAGCTACCTTATACAGCTTTCCTTTTTCACTCTTCCATAAAAATAAAGAGCAGGGAATTGTCTTCCATATCATTCTATCATCAACATGTAAACCTGCCAAAACTGGGGTGAAAATAAGACCAAATTGCAATAAACACTGCATATTACAATAAACAGGAGGATGTCATTTTCAGTGGCAGGTGCATGTTTGTTTTGTAATATTTATAGCTATTTTCATACTTCTCTTTTCATTGCGTGTAAGAAAACTTACTCCAAGTGCTAATATCATGCCTACATCCTTTGTAAACAGGGATAATGAAGCTCAAAACACCTGTATTTCAGGAGACTTTAACGTGAAGGCAAGAAATGGACAGAGGCTGCCATTTTTGGTATCCCTTATTACTGGCTCTGTTTATTTTTCCCTGCAAATATGTTTGAAGCAAAGTCCATAATTTCTCTTGGAGTTTAAAAAAATGGGTAACCCTTCTCTGCAGTGCAGGGCCTCACTAGTATTTGCCTACACTATTTTCATTTGACAGAATCCTAATGGGGGATATCTGGAGGCTGATTAAAGTCCTGAAAATATGGAACGCGTCAGATTAGGAAAGGCTACAGAGTTTTCTTTTCAGGGTAGCTGGAGTCTGTCTTGGTGGAGCAGATTGTTTGTGGTCCCCAGGAATGTGACAAGACAGAAAAGCTTCTGTGGATGAAAGTTGGTTTAAATAATTTGGGCAAAAACCATTTAAGGTCTTAAAGGCTAAAAGTAGCATTATAAATAAAGCCAAGACCTGCCTGGTGGTTCAGGCCAGAGATCCATTTAGTCCATTATTCTGTTTGCAGTATTGACCAAATGGCTGCTTCTAGAATCTCAACAAGTAAGCCCTCTCACTGATTGTGGGGCATCGTAGTATAGATAACATAGATGGTTCTTTCATCAAATTGTAGGTGCCTGGTTTTGCCTTGCAGCAGTGGGTCAGACTGGAGACCATTTTGTGGTACCTTTTCTGTTTAAGCTTTCTGCTCTGCCAGCTATTTTGTACGCCTTCATCAGGTAGCTGGCCTACTTTGTCTGAAAACATAATGTGCTGAGAAAACCAATTAAAGATGCTAACTTAGGCAGCGTTTTTGCAAGGCATCTCTGCCCAGAGAAAAAATTGTGAAATATTTTGGCACAGATATCTAGAAAATCAAAAGCGATGTTCTGTGTACCACTTAAAAGAATTTCTCTGCTTTCTTTGTCAGATAGTTTTTGTTCTTTGGGATGCTGCACCCTGTGGGTAATTGAAGCCATACTAGCAATGTTACTTGACATTAAAGCAAACTGATTTCAAATACCTGATTTAAATATACTTTGAAAATAGAAATAATGTCCCTATTGTATTTTCTTTTTAACTTGTGAAGTGAAGCATGGCATACAAATGGTATTCTCAGGATTTCAAATAATTACCTTCTTACCGTTCAACTTCCATTCAGCTCATAAAACCCATCCAGTTTTGTGGTAGTTGCAGATCCTGATTATTACATGTTGACAAGATCATATATCTATTAATTAGATTGGAGATTGGATGCAAAATTGCTGTAATTATTGTAATTTTCCAGCTAATTGTAGGGTTGGTGGTGAATATTTTACTTCTACCAAATGAAAAACAGTATTCCATCTGAAATTGTTTGGTAGCTGTTGTAGATATTTCTCTCTCCCTCCTTTAATGCTTTGTCCTTTTATTATTTTTTCCTTGAACTTGTTTTTCCCAGCACCGAATGGACTGCACCTTTTGACAATGCAGCTCATGTGGCAAAGCCTACATTTTACTCTGCTGTTCACATGCGTTTTTGGGGGGGGGGGCAGGGGTGTAACAAGCAGCCTGTGTTCCAATGCGCTGTCTAAGCATATTAAGCTAAGGCTGAATGATCTGCTGAGATTTTCATCTTCCTTTGTTCAGGTTGCCATGTTGCCCCCTTTTCTGTTTGTGTATAAATTGTACCACCTTCTCTAGAAAGGAAAAGATTAGCTAGATCAGCTCCAGCTGAGAAAGTAATATTCATCGGGACTGCCATTCTCCCTACACACAAGGCATATAGACATGCTTTCTCTGCAGTAATCATGCGCTCTGTGCATGAAGGGTTGGCTTAGATTGGATCTTCGCAACTAAGTAAGAATAATACAGGACAACAAATTCTTTGTGCTGTTCTGTTTTGAGACTGCACAAGCCTTATCCTACTTTATGTGCTATGAGAGCTTTCTGGCTTTCCTTTTTTTTTCCTCCTCCATGTAACCTTTCCATTTTTGAAGGATTCTTATTTTGTTTCTTTTAAAAAAGTAAACTAAATTTTCTCTTCACTAGTTCTTTGTTCGAGGTAGAGTTCTTTAAAAAAATTGCCAGTATTCTGCAAAACAGAACACATTTTTATTTTGGGTAAATGGAAGTCTGTATGCTTTGGAGAAGAGCTAGGGAGTTTACAGTAGGAGATGGGTTGAAGCAAACTGATGTGTATTCCCTGCTGAAATATATAAACTGGAGGCGCAGGTGAAAATTGCCAAACCTAATGAGCAATTTGGCAGATAAGACAGGATGTCAGGCAGTGACAGTTCAGCCCCGGCTGCACTGCTTGCAGACTGACTTGTTTGTTTCAGAGGACTGCATTTGAATACTGTACATAAGCTCCTCACCATCGTTGTGTAGTTGTGTAGCTTTTCAGAGGTATGCACTGGTTGAACCAAATTAAGTCCTGCTATGACACTGAAGCACAGGGTGGGGGATGACAATTGAGAAACACAGAGGCTTGGATAGCCACACTTAGGCAACCATAGATGAGATCCATTAAAGTCACTAGGATTTAAGGTACTCAAGGGTGACTTAAATCCCACTGAGTTCAGTGGATGATTTCTAAGGAAGCCATAGGTCTGAATATGCAGAAGAGAGCTCATGGTATATTAAGAGCATATCACATGCTGAAGGCAAGGTACACATGTATCATCTGAAAATTAAGATATATGTGAAACTAAAATATTTCTTTCATTAATCTAGTCAGTAGATAGCTGCTGATTTTATTGGTAAAGTCTTCATTCACTACCAGAAATGCTTATACTCTAACCTGGATGTACCTCCAAGAACTGCCAGAACTTAGGAGAAGTAATAGAAAAGGAATTTCTCTGTTCTTTCTGATTCTTTGAACCAAATTGGGGTTGGAGACATCATCAAGCCAATACCTTCAGCAGACTGAAATGCCTAAAAAGAAACATAGGGAGGCAGGTGTAATCTTGTGTAGTGCTACCACTGTTCTAAATAGCTGGTAACCTTGCCAGCTGAAAATTCATTGAGGATTCTCCTCTAAATATTTCCACAGCTGCTTAATTGTATATCTGGGTTGAGGAATAACAAGATTAAAGTATATTTGCCAACTAGAAGTGGTCACTTGATTTAATAGACTATTTAGAGACCACCTGCTTCTTTTGCTAACAAGCTGAGAAGCCAGTAATAATTTTTGAGAGCACCTGGAAGGGTCATGTTTTACCGTTGATGTTTTTTCACTGTTTAAGGACTACATGGATAAGTAATTTTCATATGCTTATCCATAAATGTTACACTGATTATACTATGTCATACCTACAATCTGTTGACCTTACCGTAAATTGTTTACAATATTCTAATGGGCTCTGTATTGCCATCTTGGAATGATTGTTTGTCTCATATATAATTAAGTTGTGCTTAGCAACAGTTCATGCATTGAGAATTATGTCTCCTATGCTTTTGATATTCAGACCAGATACTTGGAAAATCATCTGGTTCCATGAGTCTTGGTGTCACAATCTCTACATTCTTCTGCAGAATTTGGGCTTTTGGAGGTATCCAACAGGGAGCAGGTCTGAAAAATTGTGAACTTCAGAGCTGGTGCAACGTTTGTTGCTGTTCGATCCTTAGGCTCACAGTGCTCCAGCTATGCTCCATCAGACCTGACAGGTCTGTTCTGGCTTCACCAAAATTCACCGGATTCATCTCATCTTAACTTGCCTCGTCTCATTTTTCAGTTTTTAAATAACATACATTTGCATATCTCAATGTTAATGCCCTGTTCAATTCTTTGTGTCTGGCTGGGCAGATTCTAAGCTGGCCCGATCATGATCTACTTTGTCACTTTCTGTAGCAGCATTTTGATTAGGGAAGCCAGCAGTTTTGATTAAAGAGCACAAGCAAGCAATGGACATGAGATATTATAATTCAAACACACCTCCACATCAAGAGCTTCCCGCAGGTGGAAAATTTTTAAATAAGGAATGGAGTATGTTACATTTTGATTCAAGGAACTGAGGGTGGATTGCAAGGTTTGGTTCCTTCCCCCTTCAGTGGGTTGGTTGTGGGCAGGGGTCACCCAGTGAACTTCGTGGATGACTGGATATTTGACCCCAGGTTTCTCAAGCCTGGTACTCTGACTGCCAGAACAGGGATGGACAACCTGCAGCTGGCGACCTGATTTTAGTAATCCTCTGAAGATGCTGATGTTCAGACCTCTGAAAAGAACAATCTCTTCCTTGTCCTACAACTGGCTGATGCCCCATCCCCTTTGGGTTCTAGCTGT